GTCGGGAAAGGTGAGGAGCGCCCCATCCCCAGGGGTGGAAGCAGTTAGCTTGTTTATTAGATTTATATCCCGTCTGTTTTCCCCTTTAAAGAACGCAAGGCGACTTTCCTCATTCCTCTCCTGCTCTCCATCTTATCCCCACAACAACAACCCTGTGAGGTAGGCAGGGCTGAGAATCTGGGACTGCCCCAAAGTCACCCACTTAGCTCCATGGCTGAGCGGGGACCCGAACCCGGATCTCCTGAGTCCCAGGCCCGCGCTCTTAACCACTACGCTAAGTGGCCCACCTAGTTGCAGTGAGCTTCGCTTATGAAGCCAGAAACACGGGCTGTGCTTGATATGTTTCTCCTACACCAGCCTTTCCTCAAACACTCTTTTTCAGCCCTCTAATTCTGATTTTTTTTTACATGGAAGTTCTAAAATTAGTTATGTCTGAAACAGGGAACTGCTGTTAATGCCAGCTAATTAAGTGAGGTCTTACACAGGGCTAAAATGACGGTTTTTGCTGCACCCTTGTATAAATTATATTCCTGCCAAAAAAGGTAATTCTTCATGCAGCTAATGAAGTGGCTTCTACTTAGGGATGGATTAATCTGTCAAGTTTAATTCCACCCAGTTTCCCATTTTTCCAACATTTAAGTCTGTTCTATCCTATTTCCAAATCAGTTTGCCATTTTTTCCTATAAACTGTGCATGAGAATTTGGGCGTATTTTGTGTACACTCTTGTGAATAAATACATCTTGTCTATCCTTTCCAAATATATACATTTCCTTAAACTATTTTCCCCAATGTAATCTATTTTGGGTGCGCCTTTCTTCCATTTATGCACCTTAGTGCTCATCTTTTTAAGTTGTGGTGCACATCTCAAGCATTCGGAAAAATGCAAATATCATTATATAATTGCACCCTGGCTCATGAGCAAGGTCATAAAGATAAACTGCAGGTGAGAAAGGAGGAAAGGCTGAGCTTTTCAAAACAGGTAGAGAACAACAGAGTTCCTCTGAACTCACGGGTGGCGCTCTGGATCCCTCAACAACTGCTCGGAGCTGCCTCCGCATAGGGCCACTAGAAAACCACAGTTTGCTGCATGGATCCCCGAGAAAAGACCCAAATGGCCACTGTGTGATTGCGTTCTCACCCCAGGGATTCTCAGCAACACCCAAAATCGGCTCTGCAGCCCCAGGCAACTTCTAACCTGGGGTGGGCCACTTGTGGTCCTCCAGAAGCTTTTGACTACAACACCCATGATCCCTCCCCAGTTGGCTCTGCCGACTAAGGCTGATGGGAGTTGCAGGCCAACACACTAGAGGCATGCAGGTTGCCTGCCTCTGAGTCTGCACAACAGCTCTGATGTTCAGTCCATCGCAAAGCAGAGCTCTTCAAGAGCTCAAGTGTTTGCTTACTATTTTTTGACATTTTAACTGGTCTGCCTGTCTAGTACCTCTGCCTCCAACATCCATGGAGCCAACAGCCTTCCTCGGACGCTGCAGGAAGGGAAGGTCTACTCATGAGCTGGAAGGGTGTGAGACGGTTCGGCCCTACTATGCCAAAAGCCAACTGATGCCCTCCTAGCTAATGGGAAAGTCTGACGGACCAAACTCCCGCCAGCTGCAAAAACAGCCCAAATGACAGCAAAGAAAAATTCACTGGGTTCCTCCAGGGACAAAGACCCTCCACTGGAACTGTGGGGAACCCACATGGCAATTTTAGCTGTTGCCAACCTGCCCACGGAGGCAAATTACCCCCCTAAGCTGACTTCACCACCGTCCGATTCCAAGGCTTTTCAAAATAGCAATCGCAGCTACTTTGGGCAGGCCAGCTCAGGTGAACGAGCAGCGCCTGGAGCCCTGAAGCCTTGCGGCATAATTGAAGCCCTCGGCAGATGGGAGCAAAGCGTTCATTATCTAGCTGTTGTTGCCAGTCGCAAAGTCGCGTCCGACCCATTGCGACCCCATGGACAACACTCCTCCAGGCCTTCCCGCCCTCCACCATCCCCTGGAGTTCACTCAAGCTCACACCCACTGCCCCAGTGACTCCATCCAGCCACCTCATCCTCTGCCGTCCCCTCCTTCATTTGCCATCTATTGTTCCCGGCATTAGGCTCTTCTCCAGGGAGTCCTTCCTTCTCATTCGGTGGCCAAAGTACTTGTTTTCATCTTCAGCATCTGGCCTTCTAAAGAGCAGTCAGGGCTGATCTCCTCTAGGACTGACCGGTTTGATCGCCTTGCGGTCCAAGGGACTCGCAGGAGAATCCTCCAGCACCACCATTCAAAGGCCTCAATCCTTTGGCGCTCAGCCTTCCTTATGGTCCAGCTTTCACAGCCATACATTGCAACTGGGAAAACCATAGCCCTGACTATACGCACTTTTGTTGGCGGGGTGATGCCTCTGCTTTTTAGTATGCTGTCTAGATTTGCCATAGCTTTCCTCCCCAGGAGCAGGCATCTTTTAATTTCTGGGCTGCAGTCCCCATCTGCGGTGATCTTGGAGCCCAGGAAAATATAATCTGTCACTACCTCCATTTCTTCCCCATCTATTTGCCAGGAAGTGAGAGGACCGAATGCCATGAGCTTAGTTTTCTTAATGCTGAGTTACCTAGCGAGTTTTGTTCATAAAAAGGAAGGAGGTGCTGTGTTTTTAAGGCTAGCCTGTAAGGAATGTTAAACTCTTACTTTTGAAGGGAAGATTTTCTGTGAGACCAAGGACATGGCTAATCAAGCAGAGGAAGTCTATGGTGCATTTACAATGCTTTCAAAAAGCAAGGGGGGAGCAGCTCCGTGGAAGCCGCATACTTGCAGCAAGGCAAAGCTCCCCAGCCTATTTCTCTGGATCCCTTTCCCAACAGAAGGGCGGCGCAGGCATTCACTTTCTCCAGCCCTGCGGCGCTCGTGTTCGGGGACTGCAGCGCCACAGTGCAGCCGCGGGAGCTTTATATCACTTGCCCTCATTCTAGAATCCACATCACAACGAGAAACAATCGTGCTGGCAAGATGCACAAGAGGACATGAGATGAGCCCTGCCAAGGCGAAGCCTTCGGGATTAATCTGGCTGCTCTTTCTGGGCGAAGCAATGCTGATCCAAAGGGAAGCTTGGCTCGGTTAGCGCTCCACCACGACAGCTCGCCAAACTTTCGTGCGCAGGAATTTCACTTCCTTGGCCAGAACCTAGGAAACCTTCTGCGTGAATGCAGGCAAGGACTGCACACGTGGACACCCAAAGTGTGCGTCTCATTCGCGCCCTCCACCTTCTCATCCTACCCCAGCCCCTGCCAGCCACGTCCGGCTGCTCTCCGGGGACGGAGATGAGGACTCTGAGGGGAAGGCGACACCCCATGGCCCCAGGGCCTGCTCTGTCCCGGTGCTCAGTCAAGCCTGCACACAATTTCTGCTTTGAAAGGTGGCCATGATATGCCCGTTTTAAAGGCAGGGAGATGAGAGGGGAGGCCTGGATTTTGCGCAAATCTGGAGTCAACGCAGATAATGCAGGTGGGCTCCCTGAATTTCAGGGGGCACCGCAGTGCTTCTCATATTAATTCCACTAAAAGAGCGACAAGAAGAACAAACACGGATCCATGAGTCAGCCTGGTTTACACACATTGTGGTTTCTGCAAATTGTGCTGAGGTTTTGCAGCGCTGGGCTTCAAATTTGTGCAAATCCTCTGACTTGGCAGAACCCTTCCCTGTCCCAGCTTGGCCTGCTTTGGCTGCCTGGCTGGCTATCAGCTGGAAGGTCGTCGAGCACAGCTGGAACTCATTTCTAACATTACAGGTGCGCACTTACTCCCATGGGAGATGGCCTCCAGAGAAAGCCCCCTTCGTGCTACCGATCAAAAACCATTCCCTTCTAAGCAGATTTTTTTCTGCAGCGCAAAAAAAGTGGAAGCAGTGACAAGAAAACGGGGGAACATTACAAAGGGAGGATACATCCTATATACTTTTGTTAATGGGGCAGGGTGATTACGTAATAGAACCCCCAAGTTGAAGCATCCCTACTGTTTCTCTACTTATTAGATTCATATCCTGCCCTTTTCTTTTTCTGTTAAAGAACTCAAAGCAGCTTACATCCTTCTCCTCCTCTCAGTCTCAGCCCCATAACAATGACCCTGTGAGGTGGGCCGGGCTGAGAGTCCGGGACTGGTCCTAAGCCCGCCAGTGGTCTCCCTGGCTGAGTGGGGACTTGGACCCAGGTCGCCTGAGTCCCAGACCCGTGCCCTTAACCGCTGCACCACACTGGCCCCGTTTATTTAATCTCAAGAGCATCCACCTTTGGGCAGTTCACAACAACATGCTTCCTGTGAGGATACGGGTGTTACGAATCCGCCACGGTCCTGCCCTGTGCCTGCTGAGACGGGAAGTGGGCTCCTAACCCCCTTCGCAAGAACACAGGCATACTTTTTTGTCTGCACTTCCCCCAACACGCCCGTCTGCCGTGTGCCTCTTCCATGCACAGTGCTTAAATGCATACATGCCACCAAAGGCATTTTATTTGCCCACGAATCCCTTCGCAAGCGAGGACAGGCATGGCCTTTGCCTCCAGACCCTGCATTCAGGTCCAGGAGGTGTGAAGTAGGTAGATTCTGGTCAAAAATGGCCCCTAAAAGGTTGCAGCCCAGAAGGACTGTACTGAATAAGGAAAGGACCAAACCGCGAGCGCTCTGCGCTTCGCGGACATCGTCCCCCCGCCCCCCCCCCCATGATGCAGGTGTGCGAGACGCCCGGGGCATCTTTGCTTCGGCTGTTCTCTGAACGTCTGGCGGCAGGACCCAGGTGTTCTATTTACGGCCTCCGTTCAGAGGAGAAACAGCGTTGCTTTCAAGAGAGGTTCAGCACACGCTCCCTAAATAAAGCTGGGGCTGACAGGTTTGTCTGGGCAGCCCTGGGGGACCCGCATGGTAAAATTAAGGGGCAACGTTTCTCAGCCAGCGGGGGGAATGGCCCCCAACGCCGGCCACCCCCATGGGCATCAGTCCGAAAGACAGTTTGCGGAGCCAGGATCTTACACAGTGGGTGCTGGAGATGATGACGGAGCTGGAGATGAAGCTCAGGCCGTCGTTCATGCTGACCTGGAGGGCGGCTTCCCTAGGAGAGGGAGGAGAGGCGTCAAGTCACAGAGCCGACGGGGAAGGACCTGCCAGCCCAGCACTTCTGCAACAGCCCTGCTGGAGCAGGAGGGCTACAGGGGGCACCAGGGGCACGGCGTGTCGGCATCGTGACCCAGGAAGGCGGGGGCACGTGAGCCAGTGAGCACAGCTTCCTTGCTCCGGCAGGGGAAGCAGGAAGGCGTGCGGGGCGCTGGATGCAGCCGACAAACAAGATGCGCGGAAGACAGGCAGGCGCCGGAGTTGTGCTGTGGTTCTGGAGCAAGGGAGGGGACCTTCTGGACCCTGGGGGTCCCCCAGGGCCCGCAGCTTGTCCTCCAGCCCCACGCCCCCCCGCTCAGGTGGGGAAAGTCCCTGTGCACTGGCTGCTTCCTCCTCTCCGCTGCATCTGGGCATTCAACCCTCCCCTCGTCCGTTTCCAAAAGCCTCGCTGTCTGGCCTTATTGCAGGAAAATCGATGCTGTGGACGCTTCTGACCCAGTGCTGGGGACGGGAAACGGTGGGGGGCTTGGCTCCGATCCTGCATCCGAGAGGAGAAGGATCTGTGCAAACTACCCGCCCGCCGGAGGGCCTCCCTGCCCCAGGCTGGGGCTGCTCCGGATCCTTGGGGGCTCCCAAGCACGGGCATTGCGAGCAACCCACTGGTACAGATTCACGGAAGCCCCGCAGGCATGAACTGTGGCTGGAGTTGGAGCCGAGCCAGGGCAAAAGCAGGAGACAGAGACAGTTCGGGAGATTTGGACGAGCACAAGGACCTTGAGAGAATGATCCCTGCCACCAAATCGCCGAGGGCAGCTGTACCAAGACAAACTGTGACGAAAACAACACCCAGTGAGAGCAAAAATACAGGAAGTTGCTGCATCCAACAGCCGCACTCATGGCAACTTACATGCCAGCTTCTTGCAGCACAGGTGCCGGGCAGAGCAGGTAGGTGTCTTCAACCACGAAAGGTTTCTCATCTGGAAAGAAAAGCAGAAGCATTTTATTTATCGAAGTATTTTTATCCCGCTCTTCATGAGAGTTCAGGATGACAAGGCTGAGCAGGTGCACTGCCAGCTGGGAAAAGCGGGCCGGTGGCAAGCACGGCAAAGCGGCTCCTGGTCTCTGTTTCACGACACACATCTTTAAACTGCTCCGCAAAAGTCCCCTTGCTGCCTGCCCCGAATTGTGCGTTATGTGCCATCAGGTCGTCCCCAACTCATGGCGATCCTATGAATCAAGACCCCCAAAACGTCCTGTCCAGGACAGCTCCAGGCAGTCCTCCCAAGCTCAAGGCTGTGGCTTGCTTTATGGGTTCAGTCCATCTCCTACTGACCCTTTATTTATTTATTCATTTTTATTTATATCCTGCCTTTGTCCAACAAAGGGCTCAAGGCAGCTTGCATCTCCTCCTCCATCTTCTCCCCACAACAACAACCCTGTGAGGCAGGCTGGGCTGAGAGGCTGTGACTGGCCCAAAGTCATGCAGTGGGCTCCATGGCTGAGCGGGGACTCGAACCCAGGTCGTCTGAGCCCCAGCCCCATGCTCTTCACCACGACGCCACACTGGACCCTTCCCTTCATCTTGAATTACGTAGAGACTAGGAGTAACAGAACAAAGCGCAAGCTAAGCCGGCAGATCCAGAACACAAAGCCTGGGGGAACAGTGGTTAATTTAACCCTGTGCTTTACCTCGGGGCCCTGCACTGAGCGGGGGCTGGCCCTGCGGGACTTGCAGCCCCTTCCCAACTCTACCATTCCACTTCCTAGAAGGCCAGCTGAAGCCTGAAACGAAAGGTCCTTCATTTCTCTGTGAGAGCAACTGGGACTGTGGTCGCGGCTGGTGTGGCTGCTCATGAGAGAAGATCCTGGGCAGGACTTTGCCGGAGGAGCCGCGCAGGGGCAGGCGCTTGACCGGGAGATGCTGTTCCCCTGGACAATCACCAAGTCCGCTGGGGTCTCAAGGACAAAAGCGGGCCGGTGAAGGGTGCCCGGAAACCAACCAAGGGGCAGCACAAATGCTCTGCAGCAGCTCAGACACGGTCTTCCACGTGGGTGGGAAGGTGGCCGCCTGCTTTCAGGGTCAGCTGCAGCAGAAGACGAAGTAGATTTGCATCGAGCTCTGCGGCTCCCTGGCCTCCCACAGCCGTTCACGACAAAGCCAAGAAGGTGGCCAGGAGTTCTTGCTCATGTGTACATGCAATCAACATGTGCACATGTGAAACAAGCTACAAGGATTTGTGTTGTCCTTTTACCAAAGACATGCACTATTTTCCCTATTTCACGGACTACATTCATAACAGAAAAATCTATTAAAGGACTATCAAATGAAAGGAAACACAGGTCCTTTTGCACAATTGCAGAAAAGCACAAACGACACACCAAAGCTGATCCCATTTCCACTCATCCCAGGGCAACGGGGGGGGGGGGGGGCACACATTCCCGATTTAAAGGGGTGAGGACACAAAGCAGGATTTTGCCACTGGCGTTAGCCTTTTTCCGTCTCAATTTTCCTCCAAGCGGCTCTGGGCCGCAAAGGCTCTCCTCTCTCCAGCTTCTGCTCTCGGCAGCCCCGGAAGGTCAGACCAGGGCTAGCTTGGGCAAGATCGGCCCAGTGATTTCCGCAGCTGGGCATGGGTTGGTGCCCTCTCCTTGCCAGCCCATCCAATTCGCCAGCCGCTCACCGGGCCGTGTGGCTGGCAGCTTCCGAGGCAGCTGCTCCTCCTGCTGCGTTTTGTCTGCTCCTGTTGGAGCGGTGGCCCCCTGGCACCCCCCGCCTCCAGCTGCCCCGTAATTGCCCTGGCGCGGCTCAGCTCGGCCACTCTGGCTTGGACGCCTCGCAGAAACCAGGCTGGGCTCGGGAATGACGTGTGCTTCCCCTGGGCTGGCCAGACAGCGGATGCCGCAGGAATTCCCCCTCGGAAGGCTCCTGCCAAGCCAGCCCAACCAGTGCGAAATGGGTCAGCACCCGTCCCCCACTCCGGAGTGCTCCCGAGCAACAGGGTGGGCTCTCCCTGGACAACCCCTGGCCACACTTCCCGGGGGCTTCACTTTAATTAAGCCTGGGAGCCTCCGTCACAGTCACTTGCTTGGCTCCTTGGGAGGAGACAGAGCCTTAACATGGGAAGCCTGGAAGCCCTTCTCCTCCTCTGCCACCCAAAACGGATGGTTCGGCCGCCCTCTCGGGGGTCATGCGCTTATATGGGAACGTGTAGGGCAGATCTGTCCTGCCTGGGGAAGATGGGAAGCGCAGTCCAGTGCATCTGGAGGGCACGGGGCCGTGGCAATGTCCAGATCCCAGGCCCAAGGTGAAGTGGGAGAGAGCGGGCTGCCAGCTCGGCCTTTACACGTGGACACAACCACGTCTGGATTCACCCTCCCGATTCTTTCCTCGCCCAGTTCAGCCCTTTCCCTTCATCCTTCCAGGCTTTTCAAGGCATGGAGGGGAGGCGGAGGCCACATGGACGCACGAGTAGCCCCGATAATGGGAAAATTCAGCACATGGTCTGGGGAACAGAATTCCGCCAGCCACCTCGCTGGGTGCGGATCCATCCCCCCAGCCAAGGACTGGCGAGGCAGATCAGCTCAGGCCAGAGGCCAGGGGTGGCTGGAGCGGGGCCCTGCACCCGACGAGTAGCACCCCAATGCTACGGCTCCATCATGCCTCGAGCTGGGTGCGGGGCCTTGTGCTGGGTTCTTGGCAATGCTTAGACTGGAAGGGCGTTCAGCCAAACGTGGGAAGACGCACGGCAAAGGTGTGAGGACGCAGCAGGGAAGGGGGGCCGGGCAGACACCCACGGCCCTGTCCTCCCTGCAGGGATTCTGAGGACAGACAGAGGCAGGGTAAAGGCCCAGGGCCCAAGATGCGGCCGTTTCCCCTGCAGCCTCCAAGCCCTCGGGCGAGGCGCTCCGCCTCGTTCTCCCGGAGCAATGCAATGCGCATTACTCCCGCTTGAGACCACACACAAGAGGACATGCGTGTCTTCGCCATCTGTGCACCACAGCAGCACCGAAAGCTTGCTCCCACCCGGGGGGGGGGGGGGGCGGATGGTATCGTCCCCGGTGCCTGCAGCTCGATCAGGAGAACAGCAAGAAGGAATTTCGTTGCCTCTGGGGTACTGGTTCGGGGGACGTGAAAGGTTGCGGGGAGCGGCCGAGGAGACGGTGTTATTCTGCCCAACAGCAGGGCCAACCCCGCGAGAACTTCCGGGACCAGCCTTCCATCCAAGGCACCAAGGACAACAGCCTCCAGGCCCCCTTTTGGAGGGCGCATTTCTCGTTGCAAAAGGCTTGTCAGCTGGCATTGCTTTTAAGCAACTGTCGCAGTGAAACTCTGGCACTCTTTGCAACCTTGGGCTGAACAAGAGGGTTTGTAATCTTTCTAACCTTTTGGCCTTGGCAATTTTGTTGGATGTTTTTTAGAGAATCCAGAAGAGCAGCGTTAATCTCACTACAGTCCAGAAGTCTGCTTTTCATTTCCTTTGCGTTAGTCCTACACGGGCTTTCTTTAGAGCCAGTATTTGTGTTGCTCAATGTGATTATGCAGAAACCCAAAGCATCTTGCAGTAAACAGATGAAGACCAGCTGGGCTGCACTCTGGCCTTGCCTGGTGCCTCCTCAAGACAAGAGCATCTGCCTGTTAGCAAAGTGCCCCCAGCCTGTGCTTCATCTCAGAAAGCCTCGGGGGGAGATAATGCCTCCTGCTCACTCGTGCAGCCACCTTCTTCCTTTTCTTCATCTGCAGAAATTTTCCTAGTAAACTTATAAATAATGCTAACACTTAGCACAGCTGTGCAAGCAAGTTACTAGTCCACAAGTGGGGAGAGGGGAACGCATCTGAATTTTTGCAGAAATTCCCTGCCTGGTTGCCTGGAAAGAGCACGGGTGCGCAGTAGAAGGGGAAACGCAACGGATGCGTGAATGTGCCGTCTTCAAACAGGAGAGGCCTTGGAGCAAAGGTCCTGCGGATAAGTGAGATTTTCCTCTCCCTGTGTGAGGCGCACTTGCAGCATCTGGTCTGGAGGCATCCTTGTCAATCCACAAAATTAGAACCAAACGAAACAATGCCCAGAAGTGCCAAGACGGCAGTGGTGGGTTAGAAATAGGCACGTGGCGTGCGAGAGTGGGGAAGCGGCTTGTGGGAAGGGTCCTGCGGACAGGGTGCCGCGAGGAGGGGCCACCCCGACCACGGGGGGGAACCTCGTGGTGGGACCAGCAAGCCCATAGGCTGCTCCAGGGTGACTCTCTCTAGATCCCTCTGCATCATCTTTGGCTGTTCTCATGACTCATTATGGGTTTTGTTGATCTTGTATAAACAGCATGAACTCGGCTGGCTGAGCAGCAGTGCAAATGTTTAAAATGCAGAAATAAGATCTCTGTTCTGCATGAAATGAGGGGGTGGTTCGCAAGTGGCCCCCTCTGTTCATTACTGTGTGGTCCACAGCCTTCCTCAGCTTGCTGCTGTCTAGAGATGTTAGACTACAGCTCCTATCAGTCACAGGTGCCACAGGGGCAGACAGTGAAGCAAGCTGATGGCAGCAGGTTGCAGTCCAACTCTCAGATGGGTGCCAGTCTGCGGAAAGAGCTCCATAGCATGGAAACCAAGTCTGAGGGAGGCCAGCAGCCCGAGAATCCACCTGCTGCGCCAGGACTTGGAATCTCAGCGCTTTTTCACCATACAACCTCTAGGTGGCACTGTGCTATAGCAGAACAGCACCAATGCAGGCAGCACTTTCTTTTGTGCTCACAATACATGAGAAGCTCACCAGAAGTGCTGAAATCACAGAAAGAGCCCGTAAACAACGGTGAGGAGGGAATGAGGAGTGCACAACAATCCGTGCCCTTTGTGGAAATACTCCCAGTCAATGAATCTCCTTGGCTAAGATTTCAATAAGTTGGTCTCATTTATCAGATGTGATGACTCAGGATCTTGTGCTTCCACTTTCAGAGAATATTTCCTAACTTGGCTGTTTGTCTTCTG